AAACAACAACAAACACCAAACACCAACACCAACACCAACACCACCAACAACAACAACAACAACAACAACAACAACGACAACAACAACAGCAACGACAACAACAACAGCAACAGCACCAGCACCACCACCACAACAACAACAACAACAAGAAAAAAAACAACAACAACAACAACAACAACAATCACAACCACAACCACAACCACAACCACAACCACAACCACAACCATAACCACAACCACAACCACAACCACAACCACAACCACAACCACAACCACAACCACAACAACAACAACAACAAACAACAACAACGCCAACGCCAACCCCAGCACCAAGACCAATACCAAACTGCTACTGCTACTACTTCTTCTTCTTCTACTACTACTACTACTACTACTATTGCTACTACGACTGCTACTGCTACTACTGCTACTGCGTCTGCTTCTGCCACTGTTACAGCTGCTGTTGTACATGGAATTATCGGCCAGGTTGCAGAAACGCAGAAGAAAGCTTAGCAAAAAATAGGAAGCACGAGCACAATAACTAGGAACGGAGAATCACTATACAAAAAAACATCGAAAAAAGCATAGGACAACATATGGGAAAACAACAGAGGCGTGCGCAGCACAATCTATGCAACGATCACGACAGCAACGATACAACCCAATCAATGCAAGACGGTTCGAACTACCATGTAAATCACAAAATAAGCATATTCGCTACAGCTGTTTGGCTACATGTTCATTGCAAACACAGGCAGCTCACAACCAAGAAGAATAATTACGTCGGAATCTTTAAACGGAAAATCGGCATCACGATCTGCTGAAAGCACAACGGCATAACGGAACGTGCAGATAGCACGCGGCGCCCTGTGCAGCCCTTCGGGGGAGGGGAGGGCGCGGCAGGGGATGGGTGAAGTGGGTGAAGGTCGGGGTCGAGGGGCCTGCGGGGTCCCCTGAGCAATTCCTGTGTGTTTTTTCATATATTGCCCCTATGATTTTCGTTTTTGTCTTCGAGGTGCGGCAAAAGGTGCTGTTGTTTCACAAATTTCCGACATAGAAAATAAGAAAACATGCAACAACACAGGACAAAAATGATAATTTCCACCTGCCGCCGCCTCGGCACCCCCTCCCTCCATCCCCCCTTCGAGTGCTTCTCTTGAGGGGTGGGCGCGGCGGGCCTTGCGCGTGGGTCGGGTGATAGGGGTGTCTGTGTGTGTGTGTGTGTGTATGTGTGTGTGTGTGTGTGTGTGCTCCTCCGTGCATGCCTCCGCACGGGGGTATTTATGTCATTTTGTGTCGCTGCGTGCGTCTTTCCGTCGCCGCACGCCTCGCTGAGTTTGTCGGCGCGTGTAACGACACGCACTGCATGTCTGGCATGTATGCCAGTGTATACGGCGTTTCCAAACATACTTACATCCTACTGCGAAATCCGATTTTATTAACAAGCCACATACTAATTCTGCATAATTAGCCTAATTTAAAACGTATTCCGAAATCTACTCCTACGAAAAGCCCTTTTCGAAGTCCTATTCAAATTCTTATCTTTTCCTAAATTTCTTCGTTCAGTGCCACCCTTGAGGCTTACCATGCTACTGATGATAAGATAACTACATGACACCATCGTAAATATACAGGGGCCATGGAAAATGTACATCTAATGGAGGGTCAGCCGGTCCGTGCCTCCCTGAACTCTAAGCCGCCGTATTCCTAAACCTAAACTGCTGCAGGTGTCAAGTTTTGACTGGTCTGGCTGTTTTTGTTAGGTCCCGCTGTTATTTGATGGCGAAAGGTTTCCCTGCCTCTTCGCTCGGATTTGCAATGCTCTGATCAGTACGAGGGCTTCTGGCAGTTTTGCATTCCTTGTTGCAAACGAGCCGTGATGGAAGTCGTTCTGTGTACTCGCATGTGGGGTCCCTGCACGAAGCCACTATAATCCATGGGGTCGGCTATACCTGTTGCTACCTAGGCCAATCCTTACCAAAGGCGCGCACTACAAAAATTCAGAGCTCCTAGGTCAAGGGTGCTTAGGGTTCTTCTAAGGTCGGTACTGTTGGAGATAGAGCTAACGGGCTTCGAATCAGCTGCAAGAGGCGCTGGCTAGGTCGGCATCTAGGGAACTTGGAAATTTCGATCGATGTGGGCAGTGCGTAAGGCGGCAGAGTTAAGCCGGGCTACCCATAGCCCCAATAGTAGTTCCTTCTCGGGATTACCTTATAGGATTCTAAATATGAACCCCGAAAAGGAACTACTATGGGGCCTATGGGTAGAGGCTAGAGGGCTTGGGGGTTTCATTTGCCGGCAGGTATCTTGCTCAAGCCGATCAGTTCGGTGAACCGAGACCTGGATCCAGTTGTCTTCTCGGAGGCTACTCGATTCACCAACTTCCTCGGCTGTCGAAGCTCGGACGACCGCAGACACCACAAAACCCGGAAAGCCCGGTTTTAATGCAGAAACTCGTATGAATCTTACGAGGCCTTTGGTCCTTATCTCGGGGGCCCAAAATCTGACTGATCTGTAGCTGCCGCACCCCGAAGGTCTAGGAGGTTACAGCGGATCCCCCAATGTTGGAACATGGGTTAAGGAGGACCAATGCCAGGATTGAATTTCTTGAGCTTAAGGGCATGAGGACAGTCTTGTTCCAATTTTCTGGCTTCTACTTTAGGGTCTATCTGAACCCCATAAACACCTACCCTTTCAAGGGATTATGTCCGTAAGCTTTGTAAGGAGCTCAGGGTCTAGGGTCCTGGCCTAGTAAGACAGTCGGACAGAAGAGATGCCCACTACGCCCAGAAGGATTGCGCTAGTCTTCTGACGCATTTCTTTTGGGGGGATGTAAACCCTGAGCCAGACTTTTCCCACCCAGCTGGCAGCCTTAGAGCTTTTTGCTCCTACGATGCAGGGTTTTAGGGTGCAGAGTTCGGGATGTTTAGGGTTTAGGGTTTAGGGTTTACAACCATGTTGGCCAGGAGCAACCATGATTTTAGCACCGGTTTAGCTATGCTTCAAACACCAGCGGTCTGGGACAGGCAGGAAATTCAGTGGCAGCACCACCAGGGATCTGGATGTAAGTTCAGTACTGCAAGGACCCGAGATTGACAGAAGGGCCTCCCAGAATCCAACAACCTAAAGCGCTAGATCGTATTTTACAGGCTCATGGAAGCCTGCAGATGCCTTTGGCCACCTCAATCAGCCACAAGCCCATAGTGTTTACACCCAGATGGGGGTTTCCGAAAATAGGGGACCCTAATATAGTACCCTAAATAATAGGATCCTTATTGTAAGGACCTCCAAAATACGGTACCAAAATTTTTTGGAAACTCCCAGATACCAGTAATACGACTCCGAGACTAACAGAAGAGACTGGCTTCTCAAAGGTTGGTACGGCTCGATTGGATGAGTCCTCCGACACGTAGTTCGGATGAAGCTCCTCTGCATGGGCTGCTGTTGCGGCGGCTGCTGGATGTTCGGCGTAAGATTCTTGTATCAAAAGGGGCTCCGACATATATGGGATGACATCCGATTTGTTCTTGGTACTGGTTGCGTCTATGGCCCAGCAACCCCTTGAACCTTGGGGTGGTATTATCGTGATATTGCACTAAAGTATCGGCACCATGCTTTCATACCTACAACAATCTTCCTCACCATCCTAACGGAGAGCCACTTCCAGGAAGAGCTCTAAGACCCAGGGCCTGGGATCCAACAAAAAATATCGGAATCTTGGGGGCCTAAGGGCCTTAGGGGTTTGGGGTTTAGGGTTTAGGGTTTAGGGGTCTTTTGGGGTCTTTTGGGGCTTGGATGCTTCGGGCTTTAATTGGTTCAGGGCCTTAAGGGTTGAGGGAAGCCCTAAACCCTACCTATAGTCTCCATTGCAGTTCCTTCTTGGGGATACCTTGTAAAATCCTTAATCTATATTTGGTTAAACCAAAAACAGGAACTGCAATGGAGACTATAGGTAAACCCTAAATTCCCTAAATCTCCCCTCTAAGAGGCTTCGGCCCCTCATATCCTTCAGGGCTTCCAGGATTCCGGGCTCTTAGGTTCAAAATGGTGAAGGGTTTAGGGCTTCTAGGGTTCACAGTTTTAGGGTTTTTCGGGTTTAGTTTAGGATAGAGCTCGAACAGCGTCACATAGAGATGGCCTCGGGTTTTAGTAATCAGGACTCAGGGTTTTGGGATAAAGACAGTTCCTGGCAGTATGCCCGAAGTCGTTGCCTGGGAGTGCCTACCAGTAGAAGGAGACAAAGAACGAGATGACGTTTTGAGGCGGTACACAGACGCACAAGGGTGGCTGCTCAGAGTTAGATCCCGACAGTAAGCTTTACCGCAAAGGTTCACTCTGCCGTTGCATCCAGACGGTCTAGCAGCAAAGGTTACAGGCACAGATTTCGCAGCGTGGAATATGAAGAATGTAGAACCATGTGATTCCTCCTCTGTAGGCCAGACTCATACCCCAGGCCCTATAGACCCTGAACCCCCAAATCCGTTGTTCTGCACGGCGTAACTCGACTCCGAACTTGATGGTTCCCGTAGACCCCTCCTCCACCATGTCACTGTCGTCTCCACTTTTCCATGGACGGCCTTCTGAAGTTGACACCGTGTCACCTCCCGCGTCTGTCATAACAGAACGACCTGTGCCACAGTGGGGTTCTGAACCAGTCTTGCGATGACGACTACCCACGACATAAAGCCCTAGACCTGAACACGAAAGAATCCAACAACAATTGAGGAGAATCCAGCTTCCCGTAATATAACACCCCCGATCGACCAGTCTGAAACAGACCCTCGCTACTGTAAGCTCAGGTCCAACAACTCAACCCAGTACAATCCTGGATTCAGGATTCAAGATCTAGGATTCATTTCGCGTCGCGGGTGCCGAACTTGCAGCGAGCCGGACTTCTGCAACCCTTCAGTGGTAACGGTTTAGGGTTCGGGTTGGCATAAGGATTTCAGCCTGCACATCCCAAAGTTTAGAGCAACCCCAATACGAACCTGAGATTACAGACCCCGGCCGCTAAACCCGAAACCCAGACCCTGAGCTCGAAGTTACCGGCAGAGTGATGTATCTCAGGTCCGGGTTTAGGGTTCACGGCTTTGCGTTTGGAGATGCTGAAGATTAACCTTGGCTTGGCAAGGCCCGACCCTCCCTAAACCCTAAACCCCACAACCAAGGCTGAGCAGGATCGTGTCATATCGTGTCTGTAGCCCTGCCGATGGCAACGACGACAGCAAAGAACAGCATAAACTAACAAACTAAACGCTGTACAGCCCCTAATATATCCTATAGCAATAACCTAATATCCCTAATCCCGGGTTCTGACCACTCCGGTCCCTACCTAAAGTCTCCATTGTAGTTCGGATACCTTGTAAAATCCTTAATATATATTTGGTTAAACCAAAAAAGGAACTACAATGGAGACTATTGGTGTGCAGTCTCAGCTGGAAGCTGAGCCAAGGGCGCACCAAAGCGGACATGGGCCTGCGTTTTCATGCGAGACTTTCCCAGCTCACACGTTTCGCTGCTAGGCTTTCCCCCCCCCCAAAAAAAAAAAACGTACTTCACAAGGCATGCCATCTTCAAATCTTAGCATCTCTTTCTTTGGCGCAATGGAGGGCGGCGGTGGCGGCTCCACAATCGTTGGAGGACGTGGCTTAACAGGTCTTGCACTGTCGCTGTGCAAGGCGCACAGGTCCTTACTCGAAGAGAACCCGAATCGGTTTAGGGTTTAGGGTTTAGGGTTTAGAGCAGTCACGAAGCCACTGCTAGGTCTAGGTCTTGCGCTCTCGCCATGCAAGTACCACGGCGAAAAGTAAGACAAGGAGACGGCGAACAGTCCAGCATTGCAGCATCTCGCTATTCTTGATTCTATCTCTGGGCATGTCCATGCCGCAAAGCAGCCCGTAGCCAGTCATTCTCCTGCAGGGCAGCAGTTCGTTTCGCTACACTCTCCGATTGAACCTTGGGAATGCGCCACCCATCCTATCCTGCGTCACAGCAAGCCTGCAGTGTCTGGATCTGAAGCCTCTCACGGGCACGAGGGAAAAGCCTACTGGAAAGCTACGACTGCTGTAGGATCTCCGGTCTGGTAGAGCTGCCAATCTGCAGCCTACGCCCAAAAGCAAACGGGTTTCATGGCGATTCCGACGGAAAAGGCCTCAATCATGTTCACTGTTGTGACATTGTGGAACCGAGCCCAAGCACACGTGAGACAAGATCCAAGCTTTCACCTGCAAACATGTCAGCTACATTCAACTCGAACTGTCACCAACCCAAAGAACCGACCTCTCTAACCTAAGAGACCATCCTCGCCCTGGCGGCTTTGCTAAAGAATGCTGAAAGCATCCGGAGCACAGGAAATTAAAACCTCCATGTCGGCTGGCTCGGTGAAACCGACAAGCCTAGACCTTCAACTAACCCATGGGCCCTAAAGTAGTTCCTTTTTGAGGTTCATATATAGAATCCTAGAAGGTAACCCTAAAAAGGAACTACTAAGGGGTCTATGGGAAACTACAAGTAGGGTTTTTTGGGATCCGAGATCCCAAACCCGGACTCCTGCTTCATGTCTCGAAGTTTGCCCGACATTTGTTCCAGCTCTTGCGTGAGGGAAGCCAGAACCCGGCGCCATGGCTCCGCCATGGATGAAACAGCGTAGGGGCAGCGGGAAATTTATGTCAAAGGTCTGCGTAAGGGGATAAGGGGACAAGCTCTGAACCCTGGGAGACTTCTGCCATATGTGGTCTGTGATTCATGGGATCGGGGGAAGGCCGACGGGTCTTAGGTTATCTTGGGTCTCTGGCCAGCCCTCAGTGTTGCAAAATGCCTGGATCGCAAAATGTGGGCGGCAAGGAACACTCTCCTCTCAACGCAAGATGGAATGCCTGCCAAGACTCTCAATCCTTTTGCATCCAGGAGTCCTAAAACCCAAAATCCCTAAACCCTAAACCCCTTGACCCTAATTTGGCAATTCTCTGCCTAGAAAGGCCAGCACAGCAACAGCCATGCATCTCCCCTGGGATCGAGGCGTTTTTTGCCGAAGGAAATTCTTCGGAGGGCTGAGGGTGCGTACTGGCTCCGGTGGGGCCTAGCTCCTTTTTGTGGCTTATTTTTTGGGATCCTATTAGGGAACCCCAGAAAGGAAATACTATGGGGCCTATGGGTAAACCCTAAACCCTTCTCGTAGGTTTTCTTGCAGAAGGGCCCCCCTCCTTTGGTTCCAGGCTTGCGGACTCAGGTTTACAGGTTTTGGAGCTTCGGTTTTGCCCGGTGGCGACAGAGAGATCGATACGTCGATAGATCCAGAGATAGATACATAGATAGATAGATAGATAGATAGATAGATAGATAGATAGGTAGATAGGTAGATAGGTAGATAGGTAGATAGATAGATAAGATAAGATAAG